ACCCAGTTGAAGATGGGTGCCCTCCTACCCCCAGAACCCCCCTGCCTGTCTCGGAATTCTGGGAGTTGAAGTCCACCCATCTTCAAGTGGCCAAGGTTGAGAAACACTGCTCTAAGGTAAGGAACAAGAGGGGAGCTTGACTTAAACAGGATGGAAGATGGGTCTCGAGAGGGTGAGGTAGACTCAGGGCTGGCTTTGAGGATGAACCTTGGAAAAAGCAGGAAAGAGAGAAGCAGGCTGAGACAGCGGGGAAACGTTTCCCTCTTAACTCCAAAACATTCAGATGTGAAGGGGGGAGAGAAGTTGGTCAGCCCATCATGTTGGAAACACGACGTACGTTTCCTGAAGCAAAACGACAATTTCCAGCAGCAGCAGCACCACCTGGACAGAGGTGGTTTTTCAGCAAGGAGAAGATTGCCCTGTCCTGTCCCCGGTGCCTCAGGGGCACCCCAGCAATGGCTTCTCCCAAGCTAGTTGCATAAATCAAGATCCAGCAAGTCGGGATTCCAGTCACGTCGCCCACGTGTGCACTAAATAAATAAGGAAAAAGAAAAAAAAAATCAAGTGTGTGTACGGGATTTACAATCATGGTCCCCTAAACCCTGGTTGCTCCTAGGGCGACTTCCTCTAGGGAAAGCAGATGTGTGCGCGTGACAGAACTGGCTGGGCGGGGGGAGGAGGAAGTCATGGCTGGGAGCATGAGCTGCTCATGTTGGTGACCGACCGGCAGCTGATCTTGCGCATGGAGTGCAACGCAACGGTGCAGCAGCCCCGCAGGAGAGAGCTGATGTTGTAGATGGGCTGACCCTGCCTCCGCTGGGAACGGCAGAGCCAGGCGACGGTAGGCACTGCTGGCACCACGACCGCCAAGAGATCCACAATGAAGTGACGGCTCCAGTACGTTTTGGGCTCGGCTGAAGAGGCCGCCGGGGCCGCCAGGCCCGCGGTTTCCTGGCCCGGCTCGGCCGCCTCTTCCTCAGGGGCACAGACGATGCTCACGGACGGGCTCGTGCTGGAAGGCTGATGCACAGCTGGGTTTGTGGAGACTGGCTGGCCGTCAGGCTTCTCGGCGGGTTCCCCAGCATTGACCACTACAGCCAAGAAGGGTTCGGCAGCCGCCCTGTCCGTGGGGTCCGAGCAGTTGGGGACACAGGTCTCTGAGCTACTGGGCTCAACCGCCTCCTCCATCTCAGAGGGCCAGCCTGAGGTGGGACTGCCCAGGCTGCCTGCTTGAGACTTCATGACTTTCTCCAAGATGGTGTCCAGATCTGGCTGGTAATGTCCAAAGTCTGTCTGAATGGCTTGTTCCTGCATGCAGCTGGCCTGCACAGCGGCCTCAACGCTCAGCTGAGATCCCATCAGTTTTTCGTAAGTGGAGCTGGTTGGGATCTGGGACCCCAGGGTGAAGGAGGTCTGCAGGGAGGCTTCGTCGGTGCCACACTCCACCCCCGAGGACAGGAGGCTGCTCTGGTCCAGCAAGTCTGTCCGACTCAAGGAGTTCTCTGCAGCCACAAAACCACTATCGGCCCCATCCTCCCCAGAGATGGTTTGAGAGCCGCCGATGTTCCTGTCCGCCGCTCCCTGGTCGCTCAACTTGGTGTATGTGGAACTGCGGGTGAGCGAGCGTGCGGGAGAGCCCCCTGCCGATTCGGTGGGCCCTTCCTCTTTGACCGTCCCATTCTGTGCAACCTCCATACTATGCAGCAACGTCTCCAGCTTCTTGTTCTGAATGTTGATGTCCACAAAGTACTTCTGGAGCCCTTTATCCTTCTCGATCAGGTTGTTCTTGACAGTGTCAATGACCTGCTTCAGCTGCTTAATCTCCTTCCGGGCTTCCTTGAGGGCCAGCTGAGCCTCCACCCGGTGGCATTCCTCCTCAATCCAGTCTTCCTGCATCCTTGAGAGCTGGGTCTTTAGGTCTTCAATCTCAGCATCCCTGCAGCAGACAGACAAGCAGATGGTCACTGGCCTGGCTAGGAGCATCACAAATCTACATAGGAGCACTCTGTAATATTCCAAACCCAAATACTGGGTGCCAAAGCACATTATTAGGGTTAGACCAGTGTTTCTCAACCTTGGGAACTTTAAGATGTGTGGACTTCAACTCCCAGAATTCCTCAGCCAGCAAGGTTGAGAAACACTGGGTTAGACCAATAGGTTAAATTCTACAAATAGGGCGGTGCTGATGTCTTTGCATAACCGACTTGCTTGTTTTTCTGCAATCCTCTCTGTACTTCTTGAGAGTAAAACTCACACAGTGCTGAATAGAGTTTCTGGTAGGCAGAGGATGATATTTCAGTGACCCCCTATAATCCTTTGGATATTCAGAAGTATCCTCTTTTCACTCGTCTTATGCCATGGGGATAGAGTAGGTTAAAAGAACACCTCCCACACTATGTAGATATCTCCATAGCTTATAAGATGGCCAAGAAGGGATTTTTTAAATGGGTGGCCTCTAGACCATGGATTCCTTTACAGCTGCCCACCTTATTTGCCATCTAAGGCACGCTCATTCTGCTAGGACCACAGGGTTAGATGACCTCAAGCTGTAAATCTTGTAATTATGTCTCTAGGCAACTCTTTCATCTTTTAGAATTAATTGGTTTTATATCCTGAAAATAAACCAGCTTCATTATAGTGACCAAAAGGTAGCATACAAATGCAATAAACACAATTTTCCATTCTGTTCACAATTCCTTGGACCCCAAGGGAATGCCCTCCAAATGGCAGAGCTAGTAAAGTGATTATGCTAGTAAATACAGACAGTCCTCTACTTACGAACTTTCGAGTTGTGAACTTTCGCCGATATGAACAAACCTCCAACAACTCTAAGAATGAAGGTCCCAGAAGGAAGATCCTGGAAGTTTACGACTTGCAGCATATGTATGCTTGATTGGACTTACAAACAAAATGGACTTACAAACATAACCTGTTTGTACGTAGAAGACTTTCTGTAGCATAGTAGTAAAGAGTGCTAGATCTCTGAGGCCATGTGTGTGAGTGCACTGATTGTGAAGCCATGTGTAAAATAATTGTCCCTATCTTAGGGGGCACAAATGGTTCTAGCCCTCTGCATTTTAAGCATGCACCCAAAGATCATAAAATATATTTACTTATTTTACTTGTATATTGCTTTTCCTCCCATAAAAGACAAGAAAACATGAAGGAAGCCACTAGAAGAAGTTATAAATAAAAGCATCACAATAACACTAACATACATTCAAACACTAAAGTTAATTACAAAAATTGAAAAGCAAAATCATAATCACTCTTAAAGATATGCCCTGGATGGCTGCAATTCCATAAATGCCAGATGTTGTTTTCTGATACAAGGCAGAGAGAGGTCAGCTCAACACCCTAACTGAGGCGCTACTTCTGGCCTAACACCGTGAGCCCAGCCCACCAGGGTTAGGGTTTGCAGGACCTTCCCAGCTGATCTTCTCTAGTGCACAAACAGCAATAGGCCCATATTGAAGGAGTTGCTGAGTATTTGGGTCCGAAGCCACTTAGGGTTATGTAAAGAAATGTCCACAATATAAATTAAGCCAGTGACTCACAGGAAACCAGTCCAGCTCTTTCAGGTCTGGTGAGATGTTGTCATCTAGCCACTCCTCTTAACAACTGGACAGTTATGTTCTGCACTGATTCTGGACCACCTTCCAGGGTCGTCCTAGATAGAATGCACTTAACAGTGGAATTATGAGGGCCTAGGTTAGAGATTCATTTCATTTCACTTTATTTTTTGTTGGGCTTATATTCTGTTTTTTTGTTCAGGAGCACCAAGTAGCATAAACAGTGTTCCCTCCTCCAGTTTTTCTAACAACAACCCCGTGAAGGTGGGCTGAGAGACACTGACACAGTCACCCAGGCAGCTTCTATGGCTTAGTGGGGATGTGAACTTAGTCTCAGGGTCTTCACCACCACATCATGGGATATCTCAGTCCAAGCAAAACTGCATCAACAAAAACTGGGCAGTGCTCACCTTGTCGCTAAGGCCACCTGGGTCTCTAGCAATATTCTGGATGGAAAGAGTGAGAATCCCCAGGTAGACACCTGTCCCTAAACTTCCAACGTAGGATATCTTCCTAATCCCCAGATCTCAGAACAACATATCCGCAGCACCTCTGTCTTCTGGGATTCAGTTTCCATTTGATGGTCCTCATTAAGTCCATCACAGCCTCAAGGCAACTGTCAAGGACCTGCACAGCTTCTCCTGGGTCAGCACAAAAGAGACAGTCCAAATCCCTGGATGACAACTCTAGCAGCTCCTTTAGATGCCGAACAGCATGGAGAAAGACTAGAACACGGTGGAGCCAGCACCCCATGGACATGGGATTCAGTAGAATCTTCTTGGCCATTCTCCAGTGGCGGTCTTACAGTTTATTTATTTATTTAGCAAATTTATTTATTTAGCAAATTTATATAGCCGCCTGTCTCTTAAAACGTGACTCTGGGCAGCGTACAATAGATAAAAACAATAAAAACTATAAAATACTGAAACGTAAATTAAAAAAAAACATAAAAACCCAAGATAGAGAGAGAAGAACTGTCATTTGACATTACACAACCGCTTTGCCGGCTCCCCATGGGACCCCCAGGGTTGATGGAAGAGGCCTTCCAGAAAGCTAACCGAGATGGGGCTACCCTCACCGCAGGGGGATGATGTTCCAGAGGGCGGGGGCTACAGCAGAAAAGGTGCATCTCCTGGGTCCTGCCAGGTGGAACTCCTTAGTAGATGGGACCTGCAGCACACCCCTCCTGCTCGACCTGCTGGGTTGGGTAGATGAAACCGGGAAGAGCCGGTCCCTCAAATAACTTGTTCCCATGCCATGTAGGACTTTAAAGGTCAAAACCAGCACCTTGAATTGCACCCAGAAGCAGCCAGTGCAGCTCGAACAGAGATGTAACTTGGGCCATCCTAGGGGTGCACATAACTGTCCACGCAGCTGCACTCTGCACCGGTTGAAGCTTTTGGATACTCTTCAAGCACAGCCCCATGTAGATCATGTTACAGTAATCCATTCTAGAGGTGATCAGGGCATGAATAACAGTGAGTAGAGCCTCATGGTTCAGGAAAGGGCACAACCGGTGCACAACACAAAGTTGTGGAAAGGCCCTCCTATCCACGACTGCCGCCTGCTCCCTGAGCAGGAGTTGTGAGTCTAGAAGGACTCCAAGGTTGTGGACGGGGTCTGTCTGGGGCAGTGCCACCTCATCCAGCACCAAAGATGGCATAGTCCTAGAACCAGTGGGCTCCAAACCCAAAGCCACCCAGCCTCACCAGGGTTCAGTTGAAGCCGGTTGTTCCCCATCCAGACCCCCACAGCCTCCAGGCACCAGCACAAAACATCAACAGCACTGCTTGGTTCACCAGGGGCAGAGATGCATAGCTGGGTATTGTCAGCATACTGATGATACCTCAGCCCGTGGTGACGAATGATCCCACCCAGCAGCTTCGTGTAGATATTAAATGGAGAGAGTACTGGGCCCTGCAGAACCCCACATAGTAAGGGCTGAGGGTGGGATCTCTCACTCCCAATCAACACCGACTGGTACTGGCCCCACAGAAAGGAAGCAAACCAGCACAATACTGTGCCGCCCACTCCCAACCCACGGAGCTGATCCAGAAGGATACCACGGTCGATGGTGTTGAAAGCCACCAAGGTCAAGAAAAGCAAGGACAGATTCGATTATTAACAACTGAAAAGCTTCACATTTGGCTTCCCACCACACAATAAACTCTGAACCTGGGTTAGTAAAAGAGGATCTCCTCTCTCCCCACCAAACCATTTCCTGTCCTAGCATGATGTCCTGATGCACATAACATGCTAGCGTAAAGGCTGGTTCTCCCAACAAGCTGTAAAGCAAGCAGTTCATCGCCTTGGTGGTGCGAGAGACAGCCTGTAACATCTGAAAGAGCTATGAACAGCATAAGATGCTGCTGAATCAGGGAAGGTGGAAACCCACATTTCTCTGCCCTGGATGCTAACCTGTCCTGCAGCCTCTCGTGAGTGTCTCTCAGCCTGGCCCGCAGGTGCCGTATGCAGACCTCTTTCTGCTGGAGAGGAGTGAGATATTGCTCAGGAGTCGGAGGCTTGATCCCATGGTTATCGCTGCACAGGAGGTACTTGACGGGGCGCCTGGAAAGACAGGAAGACATAACTGACAAGCAGCCACCCCTTCCTTCCTTCCTTCCTTCCTTCCTTCCTTCCTTCCTTCCTTCCTTCCTTCCTT